GTGAGATTTGGAAAAAAAAGTGGCTGCCAAATTCAAATCATTTCTTCTTGGGTAGAGCTTAATGTACCCAACAACTATGACTCATGAGTGATTGCATGAATTTGCATGAAAATTGAAATGCATATTCAGGATAAGATTCTGAGGGCATGTGCAAAGTTTGGGGCATGGTCATTTATAGGGGGCAGGGTTAAGTTCAAATAGCTATTTCCTGAGGAATCATAAGTCCAATCGAGCTGAAATTTGGTATGCAGATGCATCTTAAACACATTTTTGATGATTACCTGATTACTTGAAAAACATGGTCAGCATCAGCCAATAAGCCTTTAGCTGGCATTTCACAGTGTTAGCATTCAGCTATTGTCACAAAACTCAAACAGTACTTTCAACTATGGTCTCTTTTGTGTTCTCGTAACTGTGGCAAGTGGTAAGAACTGACCACTCGGGTGCTATTTGCAAAGGTGCTTGGACTCCACAGATTATTATTATTTAAAAGGCTCAGTAGTGAAAAGCTTTCCATCATCTTCAGATTTTAGGAGTCACATCTCCGCTGCAGGCTAAATCCCCTTCTGTCTGCAAAACCAAATGTGCTAACTCCAAACATATGAAAACATTAGCAGAGGTAATGATGCAATAACTTACGCAAAATGCACATATTTCTGTCTGGATATCAGTTGTGCAAGATGGGTGTTTGTTTTTTTCTGCCTGATCATTACTTTTCTGAGAGACACAAATCTGCACTCAAATAAACATGGAAATACACATCTCATTAATGCAGTGTGTCAGCGAGCCCACCCACTGGGCCTGAAATGACAGAGTCATAGCACGGTATGGTGCTATCCATTGTTGTTAAGCACCTCTGAAGGCCGGATTCAGCACCGTTGTTTTCCGGCTGCAGAGCAGGATAGGGTTATCACACATGGCTAGTCCACACTGATGAGGATGCCCCTCCAATCCACCCACAAAGCAGTAAACTGGGTCAACACACTTGCACATGACCTCTATCACATTTATTCTTGGATATGAAAAAAAAAAAATCTATTGTTTCACCATACTTTTACTCTTGATAATTTATTTCAGTATTTTCCACTATTATATTAGTTGTATCCCCACTAATGAAACTGAAGTCACAACCAGGCATAATATTTACAGTACATTCTCTGACTTTCAAAGAGGCCTTTGAAAGACACAGTAAAAGATCAGAGTGCTCTAAAACAAATGCAGATTTATCTAACATTTGCTAAAGGTTACACCTTGACTGTATGAATTTGGGAGCAATATCTGGGTCTGTTTTGGGGAGCACAATCTAATTTCTAGTGTGGAAATTGCAAATATTGCTTTATTGGTCTTACAGGAAGGCAAAACTGAACGTGTTTACTTTCTGAATATTAGAATTTTTAAGGAACACTTTTAAAGACTACTATAGCAAGCAGTCTAATATACTACCTAGTAAAGGGGCCCTAAAGGTCCAAATGTGGAGATCACCTTTTTCTTACATTGTTGGGTCAAATTTAATACCGATGTCATTCATTTTATGGCCATTGCTTTTAAAGTATTAGATACTGTGAATGAGAGTCCTTCATGCTGATGGATGGTCAGCCAGTTTAGTTTCTCAAATGTAGTGCTAAAGGGCCAATTTTATAAAAAAAATCTACATGGAGTTGCATCACTTAGAAAATGCTAAATCTGTATCAAGAGTGGTTTCTTACGGAAGCTCTGTGCTGCCACACATAAAATAAAAAAATTCCATCAATATTATGTTATTACATATACCATATCATGTTATTAAATATAGCACATTAAATAGCACATTATAAAATGAAAATATCAAGTTATTACAAGAAAAATATCACATTATTACATGAAAAAATCAAGTTATTACGAGACAAACCATTGCGTTATTTCACCAAATATCGCATTACTCGGACAAATATTGCATATAAGATAAATATGTTATAAAAGCAACTTAACTGACCTTATTTTTACCATATAGCCTGCTTACCAGTTCATAGGTTCTGGCAAATGGTGCAGTTGACAGAATTAGTGAAATTGTACTTCATGCTTGGCTAAGACCACAACGACATTTTAATGTCACTTAGCAGTGTTAAGGTTATTGTCATTAGTATACGGATATTATGAAGGATTCTCAATTCACAGCACTTGTACAGACCCAAAAACTGGTCAGACCTCTTAGAGGTTGCTTTACTCCTAGCTGATCAACTTGAATGACATGGGAAACTTCCTGATTTCAAACTACAGCATATTAAATGTCTACAAGCCGGGTATGTTGTTACACAAAATGCTGTCTGGCTTCTAATAAAAACTTTGGATCCTCGCAGAGTTGAGATAAAACACAGGAATCGCCTTCGAAACAGGCTGTACAGGAACCCAAGCCTTAACTGTACGCCCATCACTTGTAATTACGCTCTATTTCCTCCTAGCAATGTGATATTTGGACTGACTGTACAGAGTGAAATAGTTACACATCAATGGTTATTATGTTTATAGGAAATGCTGAAGACTTGTCTAGAGCAGACACCATTTTTACATTTGGGTCACAGTGAGGTGACAGACCAAGAGACAGCTACAAGGGAGGACACTGACAGAACATCAAGAAAAGGCCAACCAAGAAGCAAATTAGAGACCCTGTCATCTTGATGACAAAGTAGAAGAATTTCTGCAAACTTAGGTGTAATGAAATGAATTGCCTAGGTGAAGAAAGTCAGCTACTGAAGCATGAACTTGATTAAAGGAAGATTCATTCATTCATCTTCAGAAACCAGCATATCTTGGTCAGGATTGTGGTGAATCCTTAGCCTACTCCAGGAACACTGGGAGTGAAGTGCGAATACACCCTGGATGGGATGCCAGTCCATCACAAGGCACTATGCACACACACATTTACACAGTCAATCACACCAAGGGAAAGTCTTTAGAGCAGCCAATTCTCCTACTGGCATGTTTTTTTTGGAGGTGGGAGGAAACCAGAGAACCTGGAAGAAACCCATGTGGGAGAACATACTAAACTCTGCACAGTCAGTTAGATGATCCTAAACTTAGAGAACATACTAAACTCCGCATAGACATTTACCCAAACTCAGGATCAAGCCAGCTGTGAGACGGCAATGCTACTCGCTGTGCCACCCTGCTGCCAATTAAATAATGAAGCAGCATATTTCTGCTTACATTTGCAAACATCTGCAAACAGCAACCGATTTAAAAGAAGATGTGCAAACAACGTTTGAAGGCTATTAACAAGCTATTGAATATTAATGAATATTGGGGGGGTCTGCTTATGAAAGACTAGTGGGGGTGTCTGGGAAAACCAGCTGTGTGTAGTACAGGCTTTACAACAGTTTATTAAAAATATATAGACATGATTTTCAGAGTAAAAATCTCATGTGTGAGATGTGTTTCCTAGACAATCATGACTAATACAAAAATTCCTGAAAATATTAAGATGTATGACCTTTAATTTCTTCTAGCAGAGTGAATGAGTAACTCTTCCATTGATACAAGAGGAGAGTTTTCGAGTTTGAATATCAGATACAGTGTTCCGATACAGCGATTTGCCAATGATTAGAGTTTTAAATTTATTAATGAACAACACACTGAGATTTTTAACTGTTTAATGTTGCACAATAGCTGCGAGACTCAAGTCTGCATGACAGAGAAGTTTTCTTTTTTTTTGGTAACATGACAGGCTGCTTTTTTATCTCATTGACTTCAAGAGATAAAAAATGAGGCGCGGGAACAAAAATGGCTTTTGTAGCTGCTATAATGTAAGTGATAAGCGGAATGAACTTGTAAACCATGTCGGAAAACAACACTTGAGACTCCTAAATGTTAAATAAACATAGCCACAAACAGAAACAGAAAGCTTCACCATATCATTAGATTATAGACTTTTCTTTGTTAAACAATAACACATATTAATCTGTTTATTATTAGGCTTAGATTATGTGGAGCATCTAACATTCAAGTCCCTGTGTATGAGCTGTTGTAGGAACAATAACATATTGCATTACCATTAAGCAGTCATTTATTTTTCAGTCATAAATATTCAGATCCGTGCTGTGAAAATGAAGCAGCATCTTCTGATTCAACAATTCAACTGTGCTGTTATTTAATTAATAATCAATCGGTTTTGACTGTCTTTCAGGTGTGACATCATAGCACACGCCACATGTATGCTGCTTAAAATTACAGCATCCCCAATGCAAAATGCCTTCCTGCATCCCTGCATGCAACAGTACCAGTACTACTGCAGTACAACAGTAGTATAGTTATTCTTTACCAAATCATTCATTTCACTTCTAACATGTAATCTATTTGCCATGTATATAGGATATTAGTTGACTTTTGTATGGAAGCAAATTAAAGTAATTGGACAGCTAAGTACATTTAAAATACACCATCCGCCTTTTTATTTGTCAGATGAAATATAGGGACCACAGTAATGTTTATAGGTCAACGATTCCTTTCTATTCATAGTCAAATGCCAAAAAACACAGTTTATGTAGCACAAGCTACTGATTGTGAGCTTATCTGTCTGTGTCCGCTATGGGCCATTTGAGGTTTGGTAATCATTTCAGAACTCAAAAAGACAACCTGCATTTTAATGCGGCTGCCATTTATCTATGAACTGTGCTGCGCCGTCACGCTCTGATTGCTCTGATTGTGATGATGGCACATTTATGCAGAATGATTCATCCTCACTTTTCCTGTACGCACAGACTCTCACCCATACTGAAGTGCTGTAAGGTTAACCTCAGAGATGATAGAACAAGACAACCATCAACAATCAATTTTACAGGCTGCAAATAAAATCATGTGTTCAAACTTTAAACTTAATCAGTTAACCTTTCAGCAGCAATGAGGAATAAAGACACAAAATATACTGTTTACTGGGACTTCATTATCATAGTTCATTGAGACACTATTAAAATAATGCTGTTTTTGTCTCATCTTTTTTAGCTTAATTTATTAAAATACTTTAAATTGTCATGGAGGACTAGTAGTTAGGCCACAGCGCTCTCAACATTGCAGGCCGGGTTCGATTCCCGGCCAGGGATCCGTGCTACAGTGCGCTCTCAGTGCCGGTCCCAAGCCCGGATAAAATTTGGGGAGGCTTGCGTGAGGAAATGCATCCGGCGTAAAAACTGTGGCAAATCAAATACGTGGACCAATAATCCGCTGTGGTGACCCCTAATGGGAGCAGCCGAAAGAGGAACAACAACTTTAAATTGTCATGTAGTAGAAGTCATATAGACTTCGTAAAGGATAAAATGTACATTCATGCATTCTTGCATTTTATTCCCCTAAATTCCAACATGTAAACACAGAATTAGTTTAAAAACAATAATCTGTATCCTTATTTTAGAGAAGGGATGTATTCTTGTAAAACACAACAAACCATTACAAAGTTTCTGTTATAAAGGGTTCTGTTATAAATTAATGCTCTTCTATGAAAAGCCAATAATTTAATGCTTTTCTATTTGTCAGTATCTCTTTTTTAAAACAAACAGTTTCCACACAAATTTTTCAGTATTCAGTGAAGACTGTGTTTCTGTGTTTGGCAAGAATTTACAGACAACTCCTCACACATATTCAGATGTGTGACATCCAAAGCTCAGTTTGAAGGGGATGCCAAAATCTACTGTTACTAATAAACTGTGTCCATCTGCTTTGTATTGATGGAATTAGGTGACATTACTATTACTCATCATTCATCTTCAGGGACTACTTTTCAGGGACCTGTTCGATTCAGAGCCTATCCTGGGATCATGCGTCATAAGGCAAGAACATGCCTGGGATGGAACTCCAGTCCTTCACATAGTACCATGCACACATATTCACACACTCTTTTACATCCTCGTCAGGGTAGTCTATCCTGGGGAACACTGGGTGCAAGGTGGGAGAATTTACCCCAGATGGGACACCAGTCTATCACAAGGCATCAAGAGCACATGCATTCATACAGTCATACATACCTAGGGGCATATTTTTGGACAGTAGGAGAAATGGAGAACCTGGAGGAAACCTATGAGGTAGAACATATGAAACACCACACAGACAGAAACCAGAGCTCGGGGTTGAACCAGGGACCCTGGAGCTGTGGGGTGGCAACAATTCCTGCTGCATCACTATGCAGATCCCATTGCTATTTTGATATTTTAAGTCCATTCAGGACATCTGCACACCATATTGCAGTTGATACATTGGGACTTCTCCAAATCAAACCAATAAAGTTACATGTATGGATAAACTGTGGTGAAATGCACACATCTCAGAAAAGGCAAGTTGTCTTTCACACAAAAATTATGCAGCCTAAAGAGTTCTGTGGACTTTCTTCACAAAGAAAAAAAGTTAATTGATGATATTTAAATGATATCTAGCATAGCACTAACCAGTGAAAGACCACTGTTTCAACCGCAACATGGCCACTGGTGACACCAATAATCTGTCTAACCCACTCATATCTCCTTTTCCTAAACAAAATCTAATCTATTTAAGTATCTTCTATTTTTTAAATACATTCATTTCAAAACATTACACATTAAAGTTTAAGAGAGTCACGTCCCTCAAGACACCAGCTGGGACTGACCACATTAAAATACACAATGGTGTCAATTTTATCTAAATTTATCCATTACTTGATTAAACAATAATTAATTATAATACATTTAAATCAACAATTAAACTGCTGAATATGTAAGTAAAGCATGCTGCTGATGGAATTCCTCTGTTGAACTGGAGAGGTGAAAGAAAGTGTGAGTTTTTTTTTTTTTTTTAAACACCCTGGATGACGAAGCAGCTGCAGACTGGGTTTAATATGACCCTGGTCTCTCACCCCTCTAAGACACTGAGGAATCATAAAATTAAGGGAACGGCAGTTTAACATCCCGATTGCTGGACTCAATGCACTTCGGATGTAATTTGAGTTAACGCTTCATTTGGCAGCAGAATTGAGGCCTACGCTGTAATGTAATAAAACCTGGAAGCCATTTTAGAAAGCATATTTTTGGAGCTTTTTTTTTTCTCCTTGTATTAGCCAAGTTTATTAGGCAGTATATTACTGAGGTCTAATTCAACTCTTTATAGCAGACAGTCTTCAGAGAGTGTGTCACAGAATATAAATACAATATGCTCTATAAATAACACATCTCACAACGGATTAACTGGCCAATAATAACCACAACTCACAGACTGAAGGTACAGAACAGAAAACAGAACAGAAAATATGGCCACTCCATACAGATAAGGCTTATTACTACAAACAGTAAGCAAATACTTTATCAACAAGGGACTTTAAATGATTAAAAACCTCCATTTCTGAGACAAATTATATACAGCACAAACGTTCTGCTCCACAACGCAACCATAATTTTGAGCTTACATTTATGGGAGTGTTATTTGACAGAATGTTTCCTTAAGTAGCTGCAAAACACTCTGCATAACAGTGGTTTCAAAATGATCAGTACATTAGATCATCTTTTAATGCATAGATTAAAAGACAAACTTCTGAACAGGGATCTTAGAAACTCAGCCACACAACTCCTGCCAAGCTTCTTTTATATTCTTACATTTACACATGTAGACTTTACTCTTCAGACCACAGGTTTTCAGTAGGGCTCAAATCTCAACTGAGATAATCATAGCACAATTAAAATCGGTGTAAAAAAAAAAATACGGCCAATTCTTAACCTCCTGGCAGAGGCAACCGTGTTTTGGGCTGTGCACATGCCTTCGATTCCTGGCACCTACTCCAGATTATTTATTTATTTATTTATTTATTTATTTATTTATTTATTTATTTTTTATTACAGCACTGATTGTGTTGTATGGTATTGTATTCTGAATTACATTATTATCTTCTTGTGTCTGTGCTCTGATAGTGCAGGTCTACAAACATCTGCCTCTTTTTTGGATGGATGACAAATTTGTATTTGTGCAACCACATGTTTATACCAATGGGAAAACAAGCCATTGTCAAAGGGAACTATAGAATTCCCAGAGACTGAAGGATTACAAAAAAATATTATTCAATTTGCTCAGCTTTGAATGATTAAATAGCTGGACAGGCTGGACTTGCAGACTGAACCAGCATGCATTATTAGATCTGAGTGTTTGTACATATAAAACTGTTAGAAAGAATGAGCAAGGCCATGTAGAGGTTTTAAAATCATAAACAGGAATTTAATAATAATTTCAGAAGGCCAGTGATGCAGACCCAGCCGAGTATTTCATCAGACTCAACCAAGCACTTTCCAGCCATTGTATGAAAAAACTGGCTGTAGATCAGCGACTCTAGTTTTCTAAACATGAACCAGCTTGGCTTCTGTAGCACATCTTCTATTACAGCTTATCAAATGCATGAAGAAAATGCACGTGCATTTATGTAAATAATTTAGCTCCAAAAAGCTCATCAGACCAGAGACTACCTATAGAGAGAGCCAGTTAAGTCAGAAAGAGAAGGTTCTACCGATCACTTTTTTTTTAATTTACACTTTTTTAAAAAAGTTTTTTTTTAAAGTTAATGATGAAAAAAAATTTGAGATGATTAAAAAAAATTTAAAGATGAATGGACAGAGAAGTGCACATTTATTGTACCTGCTTCAAGTTCAAAACAGAGACATGTCTCATCTGTTCAAAGTAGAGGTGTGCATCAGGATAAAAAAGTTCTTTTTTTAAAATTTTAATTATTTATTTTTTGGCAGGAGCTGTTTTTAGTCAGAAATTAAGTTTATGGGGTTAAGAAAGGCCATGCTCATTAACACGGGCATGTACACGTTGTTCACAGGTCTCTGCTCGATGCATTTACTGCGTGTGTTAGCACTGTGTTTACTGATTTGTTTTTTCTGTAATGAAGTTCTAAATTTAAAAGCATCACTGTTGCCTCTTACCCTGCTCTTACCCTATCTCCACCCCTCACTATATCCCCATTCATAACCTTATACAAGCTGGCCTGTACAAACTCTTACATGTATGCAGTGATGAGACACAGACATGCAATGTAAGTAAAGAAAGCTAAAACCTCTTCTTCACCCAACTGCACAGAGCTTCACACACACACACACACACACACAACAGCCAAACACAGTATACCATTTACCTGTTTACCATTCACAGTGAAACACCCACTCATACATGCACAAGTTTCATACCGGGTGTGTTGAGTAGACGTGATGAGCGGCAGGTGTAGGCAATGTGTTGCTCGCAGTGTTCTGCAGCATCTGTAATGGCGCTGATCTGCTCTATGGTGGCACTGTAGTTTAGATGCAGCACTGTGCGTCTCTCCCTGCTTGAACCTGACACAGTCGTCTGAGCTGGCAGGCTGTTCACCACCATCGTCCACACCTTGTCCTCTGTTATTAGAAATTGAAATTGTAATTTTTATTTATTTTAATTAAAAAATAAATAAAACATTCATAAGCTGTTAAAGTAATTTACATGATATTGCCTATTGTATTTTTGGATTACCAGTTAACTCTGTGTATTGATTGTGATTGTAGCACTTGAACTCCTTGTATTTTATATTTAAAGACTAAAAATAAATGTATATTATTTCAATTAACACTTTTTACTTAAAAATATACCAAGGTTTTGTGAATTTGCTCTTCAGCCCCAAACTATGGTGACATGCATTGTAATTTCCCTTGTCTATTTGTATTTACTAGCGCCTGGAAATTATGAAAATGAATTTAAGACTTCAAACAGGAAGTATGAGAAAGAAAAGTGATATCCTTATACTAGGACAGCAGGGTGTCACAAGGGAATAAGGGTCAATTTACAATCCATAAATATATTATAGGTTTTGTTAATTTTTGACCTAAAAATCCCCCTGCATACTTTATTGGTCTCTTTCTGGAATCAGTTCCCTGAGCTTTGTATCTGTTTGAATTTGCAAGTCGGTTTGATTTAATCGGTATCTCTGATGCTCACTGCAGGGATTTGTTATGTTGTTTGAAGATGCCATGTGCTCCATAAACTGACAGCATTTCATGTCCTGGTATCTCACACATTCCACATGGCTGCATTACTTAATTTAATGGATGATGTTTGTTTAGATCTC